AAAGTGATACTTGATATACAAAGTATAAAAGACAAATAAATCAATACATCTTGAATTTAGGTGGCATTCACATATGCATCATATTTTCAAAAATGGAGTGAAGAGGATGAATGTTGGAAAGGGAGAATGGAGATGGACAAAAAAAATACTTTTTGTGATTAGTCAGTCAGTTAACTTATTAAATATTGAGCTTGATTTTTATAATATGCTAATAATGAAAAAAAATACTCTTTATGGGATAACCAATAAATGATGCTATTTGTTTAAATAATAGTTAAAAAAGGATCAAGCGTGTAAAAAAAACTCCAATTTTAAAGGGTAGTCGCTTTGTTATCCAACTAAAAGAAACTATTTTTGCAGGATAAGCCATTTACATAATTTAAGAGTTACTTCTCTATTTTCAATTAGGGGTGGCAAGTGGGCCGGTCTCGTGTGTCCCGGTCCTTAAATAAATGGGCTTAGCGATTTCGGGCTAAACGGTCTTTTTGTAGGAGCCGATCAGGGACCGGGTCCACGAACTCATGGTCCCGGGCTAAACGGGTCGGGCTCGCGTGCTAAGTGGGCTAAGTGGGCCCGACAATTAAGTTGTTTTTTTATTAAAAAAAATTAAATAGAAATTAGAGACAACAAGATGTTAACAAAATATCTAAGCCAATGCCTTGTAAATTTATTATAGAATTGTGCCCTAATTTTTTAATTCAAATTTAAAAATAAAAATATTGTAAAAATATATTCAAAGTAACGTCTTGTAATTTTATTATAGCAATAAAAATATGGCAATATCTTTCTTAGTCTTCCTCCCCTTTATGGAATGAGCACAACAAGGTGTTAATACCACCATTGAGAAGAAAAAGGAACTAATCAAGATGTGCCAAAATACAAGTTACATAATACATACTAATTTTGGTTCACACAAGTTACATGTTATCTCTTACAAACTTCATAAATCCTTCAAGGTTCGAAGGAATTTTCGTTGGTGGTGGCGGAAAAGTAGCTTGGTCATCGCTGTTTCCATTGTCGGGTGAAGCACCATCCTCAGCAAGTTCAGCGAGCATTTCTTCGTAAGCTTCTTCTTCCTCTGGTTGTGATTCATCAAGTCCAAAATTTCTTCTTTTCGAACGGATCCAATCTTTGGAAAGTACTGATTTTTCCAAGCTCTCCCTCATAGACGCTCTATAATCACCGATTTGAAGTCTTGCTTGACTGAAAGCGCTCTCCGATGCCATTGTTGAAACTTGAATAGTTAAAATGTCTCGGGCCATCCTTGAAAGAACCGAAAAGTATTTTTCTTTATCCTTCCACCATTGTAAAATATTAAAGGAGTCGTCGGGATTTACTTCCTCAATTTGCTGCGACAAATAAACTTCAAGCTCATTTAGTTGTGAAAAATCATTACTACTAGAACCAAAAGAACCCCTAAACCATGCTCTTACTCTTGCAGTTCTTTTAGATGATTGAGAATCAGAAGAAGAAGGAGTTGGAGCATTTGGTCTAGCATGATTAAATGCAACTTGATAAGCATTATAATAGTTTGAACATTTATTCTAATTGAGGCTATTGCTTCCGGAAGTTTAGGCAACTCATCATCTTCAAGTGCTAAACCATTATAAACAGTTTCATACTAAAATTGAGGACTTCCCAATTTCATACAAGGATTGAACAAAGCAGTAACACCATAAATATGGGGAATAGGGGGAGAAATTTAAACTTTTTTCTCATAGAATCAATAGCAAGTTTATAAATTTCCCCACCCTTTAAAAAATGAGCAAACAAATTTGCAAGTTCTGCAATATAAACTAAACAGTTATAAATAGTAGGATAATATTGCCCAGAAAATTCATTTGTAGCAATATGAAATTTTTCTAAAAAATCAACAAGCATTTTAACATTAGCCTAAACCTCATTCGTAAGGTGCTCGTCATCATCACTTACATGTGCATTAAACGTTGAGTTTATGGGGTTTCTATATTCATATGCAATAACCAAACTCTCATACATGTAATTCCATCTAGTTGGATAAGGTTTAAGAATCTTTCTTTCTCTTAGGACACATTCATCGCATCTTTTAAAATATTCTCTAAGTCTACTTCTACGGTTTGAATGAAAAAGCAGTTAAGAGACATTTAACCTTTTCAATTTGAATATTTAAAATTATCATACTGTCACCCACAATTAAATGGTAAATATGACAAATACATCTAACATGAAAATGTTACTAAATGCAAGATTTAGCATAGTAGTAAGGAAGTCTATATCATTTGTGTTATTAGTAGTATTATCCATTGAAACTGACATTATTTTATCACTAATGTAAAAATATTTGTAAATATTCGTAACTGTGCTAGTAATAAACTACCCTGTGTGACGTGAAGCAATTATTCTATAAACAATTATGCACTTTGCATTATCCAATCCTTATCAATCCAATGACATGTAACAGTATGGTAATCACAGTCGTTGTTATTTCTACCAATATCAGTTGTAATAGCAACACGATAATTTATATGAGTAAATAAATAACGCAAATATTGTTCATATTCATGCTTATATTTATAAATATTGCTCTTTACGGTTATGCGAGGAAACCCTTTATAAGTAGGATTAAAAGTTTTTCTAATATAATGCACAAACGCAGAGTCAGAAGGAAAACTACAGGATAAGCACATAACAGTTACCATTTTTGCCAATTCTTCCCGATCTTTTTTTGGATCATAATATAAAATACCACCGGTAACAGTGTTAATTATCGGTTGAAATTAATTTAAATCGGTACTAGGGCCAGTCTGACTAGGACTAGGTATACTTTTCCCCTCGGTCAAAGCTTTCAAATATTGATATCCGACGTTATCTTTAGGGTATTTTTTTTATGTGTCTAGCCAAAGATCCCGTCCCGCCCCGCGATCCAAAATATTTAAAAGCTAACTCCATACGTTTATACTTAGCCTTATTTTGTGGAACTAGTTGAGTAAAAAATAGTCAAACAATGGTAGGTTGTCTAGAAAAAGTAGGGGCAGTAACGGGAGTATCAGATGGGTCATCATTTGGATTAACAGCGTTATCACTAGTTGGGTTAACATCAGCAACATGACTAGTGGGTGTATCATCATCCGGTTGAGTTTCATCAAGATCATTTTCCTCATCATCATTTTCATCAATAGTATTATAATTATTAAAATAGAAAGCATTCATTAATTCATGGTCTAAATGTTCACCGGGTGTAATATTATGGCAAAATTCAGTCTCGGTAAATTATAATAAATTATTGTCGGTATCAAGAATAGCAGGTGTAGGACAAGTATGTGGTTCGATTCGGGGAGCTGAGGGCAGGGGAGGAGGAACAACAGTACAACTAGATTCGCTAGTCTTGAATTTTCTCTTATTGTTATTTTTACCAAAAATATTTCTTAAGGCAGACATCATAATTAATCAAGTAATAGCAAATAAATAAAACAAACAAAATTATAATATTAAGACTTAAGAGTTGGAACGAGTTTACCGAATTGACGAACAACTTGTTGAAAATTGATTATCGTTGAAGACTTCAATTCACCAACTTCACAATTTTTTCACAAATTGTAACAACCTCAATATTTTTTGTCTATTTTTTGGAATAAAGTAAGCAATAGTAACAAGTATAGAAGAAAATTAGAGAGAAATTGTGATAGATTGATATTGATTTTGTAAAAAAATAAAAGAATGAGGGAGTATTTATAGTTGAAAATAGGAAAAAAGTATAATTATAAAAAGTTTGGGGT